GCTGAACTAACTTTCACGTGGAGTGTCTGGTGTTGCTTTTGTTTTCCCTGTTTTTCTGCCAGGAAGTCGGTGACCGTAATTCTAGAGTACAGTTACGCCTAGCAACAGCCACCAGACTCCTTCCGAAGATGCCCTCGAGCAATCGAGCTCTGCTTGTGCTGCATTCGAGGTAGCGGCAGACCTCCCACGGCTTCATCATGTTACAGTCTACATACGACGCCGCATCGCGTATCGAAAGACCGCCCACAACAACGAGTGGAAGGCTCCCACATTCAAAGAGGAGAACTGCGATTCGCCATTGTGCTCTCTCTCTCACCGCCTCCGAAGCGTCACGGTGCCACCTGGCGGGAGCTCTCTCTTGACATTGAGTCTTCTTCGTCACACAATCCCCCCGGTTGCCTCGTGTTCGTGGTCTGGGGCCCCGTACGTGACAAAACATACCAAAAGACTGTAATCTTTTGACCGGCGGGTTTACCACTTCCCGGTTCCATCAGACCAGATACAATGCGCCCCTTCGAAAGCAATCTCATATTTTCTGGCCGCCATCCTGGATCTTCTGCCGGCTGTCTCAACGTTACGACCAGCAGCACACCATTATGCCGAATTTGCCACGAGGGAGACCAGACAGAATGTCTCGTGTCGCTTTGTAAGTGCTCGGGCAACATGGGTCTGCTGCACGTCTCTTGCCTGGAAGATTGCTTGAACACCCAGAACGTGGACCACTGCGAGGTTTGCCACCACCGCTTTGCAACCGTGGCTCAAGCCACCGGCATCCGTCAGTTCTTCTACTGGGCTCTGCACGCTGGCTCTCTGTGGCATGTGCTAGGAGACCTGATCTGCTTCGCTGTCATGACGCCGCTGACCGTCCTCACCTGCTTCTATTGCATCCAAATCAGCCTCAAAGCAAGCGCTGGAAGGACGCATCATGGTGTTGGTCAGCGTGGTCACTCTATCTGGCCTTTTCCTTACTGCCTATTGTACTCGTTCTTTTACATAGTGCGCTTGCATTACCGCGATATCGCTCTATGGCAGGCACTAGAACTTGATGCGCGAAAACTTGGGGATCGGCGCAGTGCGGTGCCGAACTATGGACAATCCAGGACGCCGTATGGACAGCAGGCGAGCTCACGGAAGATTGTGGATGTAGGGGCTGCAAGTTTCACCGAGACCGAGCACGCAATGCAGCTGATTGTATGAGTCGGCTTACGTCTGCCATTGCATTACCCCTGAATTCTTTGCCTGAGAGTCCGCCTTCTGTGCCTCAGTAAATCATATTCGCAAGCTTCTCATACTGCTAGCAAATGGGTCTTAGTGAGCCTTGACTATATGTGTGTTTGAGCTTCTTCGCGCCTCAATAACTGTAAGTGAGCTACTCTATTGTGAAAATTCTGAGGTGTTACGTAGCCTATTTTATGATGTTTTATTGCATTCCACTATTCAAATAAACGTTCCTGTGTGTTTTGAAATCTCACTGTACTTCATCTTTCTGTAGTTTTTGCAAGACGGAGGAAGCACTTTTGTGAGGCGTTTTATTTGGGACCATTACTTTTTGACAAACTTGTTCGCATGTTGCTTATAAGTAATGTGCTTCGTAATTGAGAAGGGCAGTCACATCTTTTGCTATCAGTGTGAGTCAACGTGGTTGCTTGGGCGAGTTGGTACGAGATTATTAACATAAAAACAGTGCCAATAATGAGGGACAATGAAAAAAGGTGACAGACAGCGTTACTGACTTACAACAAAAATTATTGGCTGGAACTGCGCAATATATACTCGAGCAGTATCTAAACACATATTTTTAGAAGCGCCCCGCTGGTGGTCTAGTGGCTAAAGTACTCGGTCTGGCTAAAGAGACAGACAGCTAAAGTACTGGTCTAGTGGCTAAAGTACTACTAAAGTACACTTCTTGTCATGGAAGCTGTAAACAGTGAATACTGCGCGCGCTAAGGGGAAAGAATAACGAGGTTTGGAGCTTGCCACGTTAAGTTTTTTAAAAGCGGCGCTGGTATATACAGCACGCCGAGACGCTACGTCACTGAATATGCCGGCGGAGCCTTTGCTTGAGCTGACCATGCACACCAACTCACCCATAACCGTATATAAGCCTCAAGGCAGCACAAAAGACCTCTCTGCGATTATCATAATAAAAACGTACATTTCGGACGTGTTCCCTTGTCCTTCTGTGGTCACCTCCTCGCCGTGTAGGTCTTGATAAAAAACTGCTATCACGCTACACTGCAAGACACCGAGTCGCTCGCCAGGTGACATGGGTTATGTCTGAGATTATTCCAGCCGATCTAACGTGGTCAACGTCAGCTTCGAAAAATATCGTGCACATAGCTATTCAAGCCTTATTACTCTCCTTCTACCGCACACGTGTAGACCACGCACCATGACGGTGATCTACCACCGGGGGGTCATGATGCAGAACAGCCGCCGCAGCTTTGTTGCATGAAAAAGAAAGATGACGATGGTTGCTGGTTGTTGAAGTACTAGTGCCATCTTGTTCACCCAGTACTTCCAGTAATATAAATTACCAATCTGTAACAATATTAACTCCAAGTGTTAAATTCACACGGAAACTATTTTGGTGATCTTGTACAAACACATTAGGCTATAGACAAAGTACCAAGTGTTATTTAGAGACCGACGTTAGCTCTTTCCGTAAACTGTTTAATTTATTACAACGCTTCAAAGCTTCGAATGTCTGCAGAATGGCTCAGATCGTTGCAATTCTGTTAAACGCATTTACAATTATCTATTCACCGAGCGACATTCTCTAGCCACTTGACAAAGTCGGAGCATGTCAGCAGCCATCGTATCAGATTGGTTGACATGGGCTGTAGAAGGCGCTCAAGTAAGAACGGCTGGTAGGATAGCGGCACCCCTTGGAGCAGATACGAACCACACCTATGTCTTGCCTTCTGTTGCCAGAGGGCGTGCGTGCTGCCGGGCAAACTATGGAATGACCTGCGAGACTACAAGCGACCTGTCGGTGTGCCATTTTGGAGCTCAAAACCGCTAAAAGCTCAAATCGTCGAGTGCACACAGGAGAGCTCTGCAATAACGAGTGGTTCTAGCGTGCCTCATGAGTTGAGGAGGCAAGACAAAGGTGAAAGAGTAGGAATGATGTGGTTGGCCGCAGCTGCACGGCGTGTCACTAATTTTGTGGGGCTAATGGTTTCATGATGCTCTAGACAAAACGCCGACAAAACTTCAAAAATACTTTCAGACTCCTTTCAAGTAGGCGGTTCACTATGTTTTATTGCTTTTCTGTTTTGTGTGTCACTGGAAATTATGCCATCAATTCGGTTCAATTTTGCAGTGCTTTCTCTGCAAAAAGAGTAGAAGTGTTTAAAGGAAAGTTTGCCAATATACAACATGTCAACTTCTGATAACGTCTTCATGTTGTTGCCGAGCTATCTATTGAGATGCAATTCAATATCTATCGATTCTTAACACGCAGAAATTTGCTTTTCTTTCTTTGCAGCCAAACGAAACTCGCGTACAAAAATCCAACTCACCTAACGCAAGAGCCTTACGCTGTTCGTCCTATCAGTTTTGCCCGAGCCTGCCGATTTGCAGTATAGTTTGCGCTTTCTTTAGTACTGGAATGACAGCTTCGTAAACTTTATTGTATAATACTGCCATCGGACGCTTATTGCACTTAAAAACAATATTGTAAATTATGAAGAACCAAGATCAATATACGAATGTAAAGCCCGACATTGAGGTGCACTGAGTATCAATTTGGCCTTCTTTGGCTTCTCTACCAGCCACTAGACTCGCGGTGCATGGGTATTTTCGTATACCAGAGGCATAAAATCAAACCTATGTGCTCAAGGCTCCGACCGCTAACCTGTTTATATTTTCCCCTCTCCCAAATGCGTACGTGAAGTCGGCAAGTGAAAGAGACGACAATGAATTGCTCAGTTCCCCCCACTTGCGCTCACTGTTCGCGCCCATCCTCGTATCTATTTACCTGACGTCACAATGCAACATTTGGTAGAATTGTTCCGAGTTTTCGCAATCTCTGGTGTAAATATTTCCAAATTTTCCTGATTTAGGCAATCCGACAGTAATACGTGGTAATAGTCGGTTGCCGCCTATCCCACATAGTGAAAGATAAAGTGAAAGCCAAATAAAGGCGTTTTCTTTTTGCTTTAGCAGGAAGCAATCATATGTAAGTGGTGGCACCTTTGCTCTTTCTCAAGCTGCGAAGAAAAAATTTCTTTATACCAAAAACGATGACAACCTGCAATGAAGACAGCTTAAAGTAACCACAAAGGTGATCTATTTCACCTCCACTTAACTCGAACGTACTCCAGAGGAAGCGGCACTAACTTTCGCGTGGAGTGTCGGGAGTTTCTTTGGTTTTTCTGTTTTTTTTTCAGGAGGTCGATGACCATAATTTACAAGCTAGTGTACAGTTACGCCTCGCTAAAGCCACAGGCTTCCTTCTGAACATGCGCGCACGCAATCGAGCTCTGCTTGTGCTGCATTCGCGGCAGCGGCAGACATCCCGAGACTTCATATTACAGTCCACATACGGCGCCGCATCGCGTATCGAAAGACCGCTCGCTCAGAATAACGAGTGGAAGGCTCCCACATTCAAAGAGGAGAACTGCGATTCGCCATTTTCCCCTCTCTCACCACCTCCGAAGCGTCACGATGCCACCTGGCGGGAGCTTTTTCTTGACATTGAGTCTTTGCCGTCGCGCAATCTTCACGGTTACTTCAGGTTCGTTGTTTGGAGCCTTGTACGTGACGACACACACCGAAAGACTGTAATTGTTTTACTCGTGGGTTAACCACTTCCGGGTTTCATCAGCCCAGATACAATGCGCCCATTCGAAAGCAATCCGACATTTTCTAGCAGCCCTCCCGAATATTCTGCCAGCTGTCTCAACGTTACGACCGGCAGTACACCAATATGCCGCATTTGCCACGAGGGAGACCAGACGGAATGTCTCGTGTCGCTTTGTAAGTGCTCGGGCAACATGGGTCTGCTGCACGTCTCTTGCCTGGAACATTGCCTGAACACCCAGAACGTGGACCACTGCGAGATTTGCCACCACCGCTTTGCAACCGTTGCTCAAGCCACCGGCATCCGTCAGTTCTTCTGCTGGGCTCTACACGCTGGCTCTCTGTGGCGAGCGCTAGGAGTCCTGATCTGCTTCGCTGTCATGACGCCGCTGACCGTCCTCACCTGCTTCTATTGCATCCAAATCACCTCAAAGCAAGCGCTGGAAGGACGCATCATGGTGTTTGTCAGCGTGGTCACTCTATCTGGCCTTTTCCTTACTGCCTACTTGTGCTCGTTCTTTTACATAGTGCGCTTGCATTACTGCGATATCGCTCTATGGCAGGCACAGAACTCGAAGCGCAAAACTTGGGTATGGCGCAGTGCGGTGCCGAACTATGGACAATCCAGGACGCCGGATGGACAACAGGCGAGCTCACGGAAGATTGTGGATGTAGGGGCTGCAAGTTTCACCGAGACCGAGCGCGCAATGCAGCTGATTGTATGAGTCGGCTTACGTCTGCCATTGCATTACCCCTGAATTCTTTGCCTGAGAGTCCGCCTTCTGTGCCTCAGTAGTCCATACTTGCAAGCTTCTCATACTGCCAGCAAATTTGTCCTAATATATGTATGTTTGAGCTTCTTCGCACCTCAAGAACTGTGAGCTACTCTATTGTGAAAATTTCGAGCTGTTACGTAGCCTATTTTATGATGTTTTTATTACATTCCACTATTCAAATAAACGTTTCTGTGTGTTTTGAAATCTCACTGTACTTCATCTTTCTGTAGTTTTTGCAAGACGGAGGAAGAACTTTTATGAGGCGTTTACTTTGGGACCATTAGTTTTTGGCAAACGTGTTCGCATGTTGCTTATAAGTAATGTGCTTCGTGTTTGAGAAGGGCAGTCGCACTTCTTGCAACCAGTGTGAGTGAACGGGGTTGCTTGGGCGAGTTTGTACATTATTCATATAAATACAACGCCAATAATGAGGGACAAGAAAAGGAGGAGACAGACAGTGGCACTGACTGACAACAAGATTTATTTGCTGTAACCACGCAATATATCCGTCTGGGCACTTCAGCATATTTTTGGAATTTTTTGAGGAAATTGTAGAATATTCAAGGTTTAATCAGTACGATATTTTATTAGGGGGAGATCCTGATATAAACCTTATGATAGATAACCTGTCCTTCCGGGAGTTCATTAACACACTCTCCGCTAGTGGTTTAATAGTGTTCTTACTCAATGAAGAAGTCAGTTCTTGACTTCTTCATTTTCAGCATACACTGATGTACGCGCAGCTGGCACGATATGCGCATAGGTGAGTGACCATTGTCCTGTTTTTATTGCATTTCCCAGAACTGCTGCACAGGAAATGACTTTCAGAGACATTATTAGGTACAGATGTATGTCTAACAAAAATATGAATTCATTCCGTAGGCCGATTCTGACAGAACATTGGTCTTCTGTTTATGTTCAGATGGACCCAAATGAGAGCTATCGTGAATTCGTGTCTATATTCAGGAAACATTACAATACACGTTTTCCTTACATAAACGCTAAGCCCGACATCAAAATACGAACACTCTAGGTAGAGCGAGAACACCTCAAAATGATCAAGCAAAAGATTCAACTGTTCAAGAACGTTTTGCGTGCAAGATACACTGCGGAATTTGATGCCTCTAAAGCCTACTGGAATAAACGAACTGCGTCATGAAAGAAGGCAAAAACCTCTAACCATTACCAGATGTTTTCGGAGACCTATCTACGGTGTCCCAACGAGGTGTGGAAAGCAATCAACCAGGCCCAGATCAGAATACCAATCAACCAGGCAATGCTGATCACAACACTTTAGCGGAAATAACTGTAAACGGGTATAATATATCCAGTGTACCTTTAGCCGAGCATTTCAGTGAGCACTTTGCTAATGCGGTACAACCACTTGGAAGCACTGCCCATACTCAGATTCCTTTCCACAATTCTGGCAGAATGTTTTTTGCACCCACAGATGAAGCAGAAAAAGTACGCACATTCTCATCTTTAAAAACAGCAAAGCTATCGATGTCGGCAGATTTCAGGTTGAAGCAATTAAGCACGTAATTGACCTCCTTGCTCCTTGTTTAGCTTACGTGTTTAATCTAGTTTTCCAATCTGAATGCTTCCCAAATCTCATGAAAATATCAAAAAGTTTGTCATGTATAAAAATGTAGATGTTAATGATGCTAATAATTACCGACCAATTTCAATTATGTCTGTATTTTCGAAGGCATTAGAGAAAAAAATTTTCAACCACCTAAGTAGTTCGCTTAATAAGCACAACATACTTTCAAAAAATCAGCATGGTTTTCAGGGTGGCAAATCCACACAGACTGGGTTGTTAACCCAATAAGAATTGATAATCAAAATTATCGAAGAAAAAAAGCTTACGCTAGGTGTCTTCATTGACTATAGCAAGGCATTCGACACCCTTAATCATCACAATTCACTCGGCAAGTTAGACGCCTATGGGCTACGTGGTGTAGCCAATTTCCTATTTTGTTCATATTTGTCCGAGAGGAAACTGTGTGTTTCGATCGCTAACTCTTCGTCTTCCTACAAAATTATTTCTTGCGGTGAGCCTCAAGGAAGCATCTTAGGGCCAATGCTTTTCAATATCTTCATAAATAATATTGTCGACCTAAATAACGATGATGAATTTCGACTGTACGCGCATGACACCAGTATTTTTGTTTCTGGAAAAAATTCAGCTGATAATATTGTCAAATCCCAAAGCGTATTATCAGATGTACTGCGGTGGTCTACTACTAATGACCTGCAATTAAAAGCGAAAAAAAAAACACGAAAGCTCTCTTTTTCAGGTCCAGGGGCACGGAAACTAATCTTCACCAATCGTTAACGCTTGAGGGAAAACCCGTAGAAGTAGCAGAGAAACATAAAGTTCTAGGTGTAACTTTTTTTTGCTCATATGACATGACCATGACATGTGGAATAATTGAATAAAGCATTATCGCGTGCTGCTGGAGTATTGTCACGAGGTCGGCACTTTCTTCCGAAAAAAGCTAAAGTGCAAATCTACCATGCTTTGTTTTCCTCGCACATAAACTACTGCCTTCTTGTCTGGGCACCACAACTTTAGGCAACGTAAAAAATATTCACTTATTGCAAAAAAGGGCATTGCGCTGCATTGCAAATGTCCCACGCAGTACTTCCACTGGTACTTTGTTGCACCACTACAAAGTAATGAGCATGCAACACATTTACAAATTTCTACTCATTAACAACTACTTATTTGCGAAAGAACAATTCGAAACATTTTTTAAAGACTTATCAAACATAAGTCTTCAACACACGGATTCACGAACCCGAAGCATAGACAGGTAGCTCGTTCCTCGTTCTCGCACGAATTATTTTCTACAGTCCCATATATATATATACATTACCATCCCTACTTAGTAAATGTATAAATGATGAGCCCAACTTTTTAATGTTCGCAAAAAGAGAAATGCGAGAATATTTCTTCACCCTGGCCTAGTATTCTACTTTTAATCATGCTATGTTATCATTATTCAATGTATTGCATTCTTTCTTGAGTCTCTGTCATGTTTATTTTGATACTGTTCAGGGTATTCATGAGTGCAGATACATAGTTATTAGTTTTGTCTTTGTCTATTTGTTTTACTGTTGTATTTGTAGAATATTCATCTGAATATTTGTTCTGATAGCCTACTTACATTCCAGCAAATTTTTTTAGAGCTTTAATTTCAAAACTGCTGCCATGTACGTGGGGCCTCAGGCCCTCTCAATTGGTTTTTCAAACGCGTTTCGCCTGAGGGACGCCCCAACTGGCTGTTAAACACTTGCTGGAAATAAAGAGTGAATATACTTGAGACGTTTCTGACAAATAAGAGGAATGACAAACTAAAGCAAACAGGATTCACCTAACAACCGAGTATTAATCGTGATAATGTGCCTTGAACATCACGTGTGCCAACATTTTGAAGAAAATAGATTTATTTTTATGATAGAGCAATTGAAGGCCTGCTGACACATAATTGCCCAGCCTTTCTATTTCTGTAGCCTCATAAATTTCACGTACCAACTGATCCCGATAGCGCCTAATGACCATACAATGCTGGAAATCAGGGGCACTACCGCAGTCCCGGCAATGAATGCCGAGGTGGCCCGATACTGCAAAAGAGACATTGTGAGCGTGCTCTTTCAGCCGCTCACTTAAACATATGCCTGTTTGGCCGATGTACCATCTACGAACATTAAGCGGTTGTTAGGGTAATTTTGTTTTCTTTAGTTTGTCATTCCTCTTATTTGTCAGATACACCTCAAGTATATATTGCGGGGTTCTAGCAAATATTGTTGTAAATCAGTGCCGCTGTCTGTCTCCTTATTAATGACGATAGTCTTTCTTGGGGACCTTCCACGCAAAAACTTTGGTCTGTCTGTCTGTCTGTCTCTGTCTGTCTCTGTCTGTCTCTGTCTGTCTCTGTCTGTCTGTCTGTCTGTCTCTGTCTGTCTGTCTGTCTGTCTGTCTGTCTGTCTGTCTGTCTGTCTGTCTGTCTTGTCTGTCTGTCTCACTGTCTGTCTGTCTGTCTGTCTGTCTGTACACTTGCCTGTTTTTCCACTGTTCCCGCGATTAATGTACTCTAATTAGCACCAGCCGATATTTCGAATGACCGACTCCATCCGCAGCGCCCACCAATGTTACTCAAGGATCAGCGTTCACACGTGTGCGATTGTCAATTAAAATGATATTATTGCGCATATCTGAGGCACCATATCAACACACATATATTTTTCATGTTCGTGTTTTAACAGAAAAGGCATACATAAGTAATTCTAAGGACCGTAGCGCTTATTATGCCGCGCTAACCATGGAACACTCGCACGAAGGAGCGAGTGTTTCCAACGCTTTGCTAAGAAGAGACGGTGGTGGCACCTACCCGTCGCCTTGCGTTCTACACCTTATCACCTCTGAGACGGGCGCGCACACCCGTCTCAGGGCCATGCACTGTGTTTTTCAAAAAGAACTGCCAGATGGCCCTCATGCATTACGTGTGACGGGACTTGATGCACTCGTTCGCCTCCGCTGCGCGCTCGAGGCACTCTAACGCAGCGCCTCCAAAATACCATTCACCGATTTTCTTGCGCAGAACATAAAATAAATCTTTTGTTCACTCTCTCCACACGCAAGAGTATCGTCTTTCGACGACATTTGCAGATTACATGCAGATACGGGGCCAATTTTTTTTCTTGTCCCTCCTTATTGGCGCTGTTTTTATAAGAACAATGTGACTGCTAACGCTTTAACAGTGCCGGAGATAGTGGTAATGCACTGTTTTTTTTTTCAGGAACTTAGTAACGTTCTTTCACTATTTCGGAACTGTAACGGGTAGTTGAATTTGTTGCTACCAGTGTTGCAGGTTACGCGTTAACAGTAACGGCATTACTGGTAATGCGCTGTTTTATATCCCTAACTTAGTAACTTGCTCATT